CGTGCCATGGGTTCCCGTGTCCTGCGTGGTCTGTGACACTTTCATATATGGCTGTACCTCTGTACAGATCTTTGGGGTATCAGTCATGTCAGCCATTCCCACATGTGTTACGTGTGTTACTTGTAAGAACAAGGTCAGCAGGATTTGGATTGTGTTTGCGGGGGGATAATACCGTCGGCATCACTCAGTTCAGTTCAGTTTTGTAAAACTGAAAAATAGGTGAAACTGTATAGCTGGAAAAAAACCCCTGAAAAACTGGTAAAATTTATTTACCAGACCTTTGAGTCCAACCATGTTTAGAAACAATAAGCTTTATAGCCATTGTAATTTCTTTTATAAAAACAAGTTGGGGTTTTTTTGTTCTTTTAAGATTAATGATTTTTTCAATTTCATCTGATAAAATTATGCTGGGGCCCGATCCTGTCAGAGTTGTAAACTTGAAACTTCAGTTAAAAATGTGAGTCAAATCCTGCTTAGCTCACTCACATGGGTATCAGCTGGCCTGATTGATTTTACTTCCCAGTTATAAATAAGAAGCAGATTCCTTATGGTTAATTGAGTCTTTAATATCACCATAAAAAGCAGTATGAGATCAGAATCAACCCTAGCAGGACTACATACACTCACAAAAAAGCTAGCCAGACTTTGCCCAGCAGATATTTTGGACATACAAAGTAAGAATTGCAATTTGTCAGAAGCTTATCCTATATCCAATTTCTCTGTTACGACATCTCTGTTCAAGAAATCCTGTAGTAGTTAAAAACTCTTATGGTTTCCAGCAGATTTTCAGCATCAACAAAAGAGAAATGTGTCAGATTGGCTTTGTATGCCTTTTGTCCTTTCTGTTGCTCTTTTCTAGATTTAGCAAAATTCAATGGTGGTACTAAATCAATTTTTTTTTTTTTACTTTCAAGGGAAAAAACACTGGTAAAATTGTGTTTTCTAGGGAAGGCCGTGTGTGTAAATGAGAAACAGTGGATAGCAGTGGAGTGATCTCCTGTGGCCCTGCTAGTACAAGCTTTCCCCATATTGTCTCCTGCTTTTATATTAATTACAACTTGCATTATCAGCTGTGAGTCTGTAGCCCAGCAAATAGAAAATACTGCCCCTGGAGACATAGCTTCTTGTATCTATTTTCCATCTCCTTCTATTGTGCTCTACTCAGTATTCACTGCTTTTCTCCTAGTAACACTGCTCTTTAACACAATTAGGTAAGACCAAGAGGAGTACCATATTTGGCTCCCAATTATTAGAACTACTGGGAATAGATACATGTGTGCTGTTCACTTTCTATGATATCTGGCATTAGTTTAGGTCATACATGTGTGAAATTTTTATAGTGTGTGCACGGTACACAAAATAGACAATTCTGTTTTGGCAGATATCTCTTCAGTGAGTTTCTGCAAAGTATATTACTAAACTTGCAAGAAGAAATGAGAAGTCATGCTAGCAGTTTGTGTAATATATCTAAAGCTATATGTTTTGTTTCTTTGTTTCCTTATTTTTTAAAATTTTTTTTAGTGTGATAACTCAATACTAATTTTATTGAAACTAACATAAAAATTGCAACTAATATTAGTGGGTTTTAGACTAGGATCTCTTCAGGTACTTCAGCTATACCGATGAAGTTTTCCAGTGAAGCACACTTTAAAGGTGTCATTTGGTTGGTTTTTTAGGGTTTTTTTGGGGTTTTTTTGGTTTTTCTTGGGTTTTTTTGGGTGAAGGTGTGCATGAAATAAATACTTATGATTAGTCATTTGGCCAAGAATATTTTTTGAGGGATGTGAGGTTGGAAATTGTCTAGGAGAGAAAAAGTTCAATTCACTGACTCGTGCAATGATCTTAGTCCAAACCAAAAGAATGCTGTCTTTTTATGAGTCTGTAAGCTCGCCCCCTAAAATTTTTTGTCATTTTTTATAATATTGAAGTCTAGTTATTTCTCTCCCTTTCAAATTCCTCCAATATTCTACTGTTGCATTTAGTAAATACCTTATCTTATATTTTCTGTCCTCCAACAAAACTCTGCCAAATAGCTTCCTCAAGAATACTGTGTCACAAGAAATACACTGAATTTTCAATCAATACAGTGTGTCTTTCTCAAACCAGACCTACAAACTGAGGTCAAAACCAACTCAGCCTGGTAGAGACAGCAAGTGTTTTCAGCTGTGGGAAGTCTCATTCAGTGATCCTTTACAAATTTTTACAGCTTTGAAACAGAAAGGCTGGTCTAGATTTTGAAATATTGTATGATAGGTTTTGGATGACATTTGCCTTAAAACATAGCTGAGCAGTTACCAGTTAATTATTGTAACTTTCTACGTGTGATAAGGAGCTCCAACTGCAGCCAGCACAAGAGAGCCTGCAGTACACAAAATTAGCATAATTCACTGTGTTCCATGAAAAGTTTAGCCTAGGTGAACATGTTGCAATTACTATGTTTTTTAAAAGAAGGTTCCAGCACGATGTTGTTGGAGGGCTAAACTCATGCTATGCTATTGTTTCTTTTCTTTTTCATGTATTTCTTCTAGCTCTTTATCTGATTACCATCCGGCAAACAGCTGACGCTAAGAGGCTGCAGAGGGCTGAAGAGCTCCTGTCTGCTGTTTGCCTTCAGCTTGAAGCTATTTGAGTGTCTTCCTAAGTCAGAGATAAAAAGAGAAGCTCATAGGCACAACTGTGTTTTAATCCAGGCTGTAAAGAAACTTGCACAGTTTTTGCCTTTTATTTCCATCTGAACTTTTTGCTAACCTTATTTTCATGTTTTTTGTTCTTTTTAATAACACCTGGGCTGCTTGAACTTTCAAGATTTCTCATCTTTCTTTTTGTGTTTCTCTCCACCTGACTCTGAAATATGATGGTAAAATGTGGGGGGTTTATTTGTTTTTCTTGTTTTGTGTTGCTGTTTGTTGTTTTTAAATGAAACAGTGGGGAATAATAGTATTATTTAGAGAAGATTAACACAATAACCTCAATGAATATAAAATGCTACCGTTTGGTTGAAGTTTTTTCCTGTTGTAGTTCTGTGTGAGGAAAAGTAGTTCAGTCTTATAGGTTTTGGAGGGGCTGGTGATTTTGTGCTGTAAGTGTTCTTGTGCTGCATACTGTGCTGACAGGTTAGGCAAATTTCAGATCCTGACCTGTCTTCTGATTTTACTCGTGTCTTCCTGTCATGGAACCACATACGTGGGTGTATGTGTGCTTCTGTCCTTGTAAGGTGAAGGGAATTTGGGTCCTTCTTACCCTTTGGTCACCTGAGACTTTACTGGGAACCTTTTGAAGTCATGGGCTCTTTCCTTTGTCTCTGCTGTGATCCAGGTCAGGCCCGTCAGATTTATGTTGCTGGGTATTGTAGAAAGCCTTTCCTTGGCAGTTCTATCCTGTGTTGCTATACAGCATGTGGTACTAATCAGTGCTAGAAGATTACTTTGAGATGTTTCAATATAGATTTTGGGACTTGGTCCCAATCACACTTACACTGTATTTTACAATGGGTAAATCAGTTGATTATGTTGAACTTACTCCTAGTACACATTGATGTCGATGAGGTCAGAATCGGTCCTGCTCAAATCCAACTTGTCACTTACTGCTTTCATCTTCTCCTCATGCTTTAATGGTCTAGTGTTATTTCACAATGTAGATTTAAACCACACTCAAAACTAAGCAGCCTAAGAAAGCAATTTTTTTTGAGGGAAGATTGTTGTTTGGTTGGTTGTTAGATTATTATAATATGCTTGAGTTAAATCGTCGCATGCAGGTGATAAGTAATGCAGGTCCAACCCCTACTCTGATCTGTTTCATGTGTTCTTGCTCTCCTTTTCTGCCAGAGGAAATTCCATCTCTTGCCTGCCTTCATGTGGTGCTGATAAAGCTCTTCCTGTACAGTAGAATTCCTGTTTTCCTTTAAGCAACAGCAGGGTATTGGGAATGATCAGGAAAGGGGAGGAGGACAGGAGGAGAATACACTCAACAAAGTAGCACTAAACTGTAACATTAAGTTTTCCTCACTTATCCTTTTAAATAGCAGCTCCTCTCTCCAGGAAAGCCAATACCCAATAAATTAGAAAGCATACATGAGTTATGTGACTTAAGTACAGTAGTTCAGCTCTTACTTAGCCAAGTTTTGCAAACTTTGTAAGTCTGCCTTCTGCATTCCCTTTTGTAGTGTTTTATGCATAGTAATGCAGAAGGAGTTACATGAAAATCATTATACATGTTATTTTATATAATCACCTGGTGGTTGTTCTTGACAATTCTTGTAAGTGAACTGTTAGAGTGATAAATCCAGAAAAGTCTCTTGAAATGTGTCAAATCAAGGTAGTAGCTGGGGGTTAAGAAGCATCTTTCCTGGTATATAATGTCTTTCAGAGAAAACCTCCTTTTTCCCCTCACAGCTTTGATTTTGTTGGAAGCTTTTCCAGCATTTAAATGGGTGACAGAGAGATTGGGGGGTGAAGACACACTCCTCTCCCATTCGTGTTCTCCTGTACTTCTTGAAAAAGCTTCCCTCCTCTTCTCCCCTCACTGTCTGGAAAAACAAAGTGTGGGGAGATAGTTTGCATGCCAACTATCCTGATCCTAATGAGAACACCTAGTATCATAAACTATGTAGGTGGATACCCTTCCCTCCTCTGCCTCCCCTCCCCTCCCCACTACCCTGTAGAGCTCCTTAAGAAGCAAAACTTACGGGTTTTTTGTTCTGTCCTGAAATATTTTTTTCCAGTATTATTCAAACAATTAAATCCATAAAACTCTGTGGAAAGTTTAAAAAAGAAAAAAAATCTGTCTTGTGTTTTAACAAGTAAATCTTTGTATCTCCTATGCTTGCCTTTGCTGAAGAATTATTACACTGTGCAAACAGTATAGGTGTTTGGCACAATTCACAAATGCTAATGTGTATACTTTCCTCCCCTTCCTCCCCTCTTCTCCCTGTTTGCTTTCTGTTCTTCATTTGCTATTGGAATGGGAACCGTGGAAAAAATTCCTTGGCGCTCTGACACCAGAATCCTTCATCTTGGAGAGACCACGATGATGCAACCTCAACGCACTCGGCAGGCACACCAGGGCCCTCCAGCGGGGGCCACGCTTCCCAGAGTGGAGACAACAGCAGCGAGCAAGGTAAAAGGTCAAACTTTTTCTCTCCACAAAGTAGGCATGACTAAAATAACTCCAGCTTTTTTCATTATATCAGTACATCTGCCTTAGAGTAAACACAGAGTGGCAGACTTGCAGTATAATCAGCTGTAAGTTAGGGAGACGGTATTTCCTTTTCCTAACCCACTTAGCTGCATTTTATTATTATTTCAAAGCGAAATATCTAATCTTCAAACAAGCTTTGTAATAACAATTGATTAGTTCTGCCAATTCCTTTACAAATTTGGTTATCTACAGTTTATTTTTGTGTGGTGTAAGTAAATATAATGACAGACATACTCTCCAGCTGCGGTGCAGTTGTTTGGGTTGGGTTAAAGAAGGAGAGTTTAACCTGCAGTTTTATATGAGAAAGAGACTTCTGTGTGAAGTTATGAAGCTGCTAAATTATATAAAATAGAAGCAAACCCTGAATTAGACAGAAAAAATGTTTCTTGAAATGTTTGCTTGTACTGATTTGTTTTTGTTTCTGAAAATCTGAATTCTGAATGGTAAATAGAGATACACCTCAACTGCAAAACCTCTTTTGTATCTATATACAGTGCAAGTTCCTCAAGGTTGAGGAGGTTTGATTATTATTTTAGGGTTTTTTGTTTTATTTCCTACTGCATTGCACCTTATGTGTGGTCATCTGCATCCATGCTGAGTGAGTGTCAAAGGCTGTCATTCTGTTATGATAGTGTTTTACACGTGCTCATTAGAAGAATAACTGACTCCAGAAGGTGTAAGAGTCAAGCCCTCAGTGCTAAATGTTGGGTAAAGATGGCCTGCTGTCATTCTTGGATTTTGACTCAAGAGTTGATTTTTTCTTTTTTCTCCTTTTTTGATTTTTTTTTTGAGTCCAGAGTTTAAGGTGGACTCCATTCTTGTTTTTCTTTGCAAACATGGTAAGCTTCTGCCAGTGAGAGGGACATTACCTCTATAAGGTCTTATGATACGGTCTCACCACAAGATGTTTCTCCTGCATCTGTGGTATTTTGCCATTTTCCCCTCGTGCCCAGCAGAGCCAATGGACAGGGCTGATAACCAGCTAGTCTTGAAGGACCCCAACACTGGCAAAGGGAGATGCCTTCAGGGCTAGGGTTGCTTTGGCTGTTCTCATGCTGCAGACTGCCTCCCTCCATGGTATTTGCCATGCTTAGACAGCAGAAGAGATGTGTGATTTTATGTCTCTCACGTGGCCCATTGCTTGGCACAGAGCTAGTTCCCCTCATCTGCCTGGTGATCTGGTGCTGAACCCGTTGCAGTTCTAGGAACTTGCAAAGTTTGTTTCTGGTAGAGTGGTTTGGTTTTGTCTTCTATTTGTAAGAATTGTTTATACATTTGTAATCTTATTGCTGATAGAAAGCAGCCATGGCATAGGGTGTGATCCTACTCCAAAATGAGTCACAAGGATTTTTTGCTATGGGATTAAAATGGAACTGTACAAGACCCAGCATGAACCATTACAGCTTCAACAGCTGATAGGGAGAGCTTGACTGCTAAACAGTATGATGGTTTTATGTCTATTGGCTGGCCATAGGCCAGGATACTGTTGATCAAATGTTTATGTGATATACTGTAGCTAAAGTGCTCCGTGTAGCAGGTGATTTGCTTGCTTAAAAATGATTCCTTGGATTGGTCTGCCATCTTCATTCCATCCCTAGGGAGAAAGTTTCCTGACACCTGTATAGCCACTCTGCCCCAGGAACCCCTTAGAAATTAAAAAAGTTCCTTAATTGAGCCATGCTTGATATAAAGAAATCGCTTGTATACATATCCAGGGATCCTGCATTTCATAGTCTCTGATCCCCTGTCGTGTAACTCTGGTGGGTGCTTGGGAAATATTGCTAAACATTAGAAAAAGCAGTTGATGACTACTACACCACTTTTCCTTTAGAAGTTGGTTTCTGCCAATAAATATGATTTCAACAAACCTGTTATTCATTTCTGTGGAAGAGGAACAGCCTCTGAGGGGCCAAATCAGTCACTGGTGCTGTCCAGTCCAGCAGGGTAAAGCATTGCAAGTATGTTTCCCTTTGTGCTCATCTGGGCCTTCGAAAGGGAAGCTGAAGTCCAGTGACAAATCACCATTCCATTCAGCTGCTGGCAGCTGAAAGGTTATTCTACAGCACCAGCAGAATTCCCACTGGAGATGGCTCTGGATTGCTCTCACCCTCTCAGTCCTGGGAAAGAGTAAGGAGAATGGGGGACTGTCTTGAATTTTCCTTAGGCTTTCTTCGGAGGGGCAGAATTTACTTTGTAATTCCTGAGCCAGCAGTGAGCTGGTCCCAGACAATGCTGAGAAGGATAGATGCCCTCTTGAGCTATTCCAGTGCAGTTACTCACTTGGGTCAACTTGGTTTCCCTGCAGTTTTGCCAAGAGCTTCCACAAATGCTGCTTCACTTGCCCCAAAGGATTTCTTGGAAATGGGAGCTCATTAGAGAGTCTTGGGTTACATTAGCAACTTACAGTCTTCTCCACTAATGCCTGGTGGCAGCAGAGATTGATTCATCCTAGAGTCAGTCTCTTCTGGCTTTTGAGAGCACTTTTTCCAGGGGTCTCTGCTTTTGCCTTGAGTGTATGATGTGCACCCTGTGATATTTTTTTATAAATTATTTTCTTTTAATTTTATTATATTTTGGAGAGGGAGGAGATGGAAAAGATTTGGGTGGGTGATGACTGTTTTTTGCAGACTTTCTCTGCATGAGATAAATACATTTATTGCCTGTAAGAATCCATCCATAATTCTTACAGTTTGAACCGAATAAAAAAGTGTAGACATTTTGTCTCTTTATGGAGGATAGTCTCTCCGCTACAGTGCATGGCTGCCTTTTGGCATCAAAAGGGTTAATCCAGTCTGTGTTTGGTATTATTAGAAACATGCTGGCATTGGATGAGTTAAGTAAAGGGCCTTCAGGCAGCAAATGTTGAAAGATTATCCTAATTTTATTAGTGGTGAGTGTCTATGTTGTTCTTAGCATGTCACCTCACTTGTTCAACAGAAAACTAAGCTACACAACATATTGATCATCTGGCAAACCAAAGTAGTAGTGATCTGTAATCCACCAAGCAGTTATTGACTTTATCCCAGTTCAGATCCACAAATGCAAATCAATGCTGTATAATACTATTTTAAAGATTAGTAATTATGTAGTAGGTCCGATCTACTTTCCCCCTGCCCTGGAAAGAGTTAAATGTATCCAATAATAAAAATAAAACACTCTAAACATCTTACAAAGGAGAAAAAGGAGAAGCTGATTTAATGGTCTAATGAGGCCATCTTCCAGAGACTTGTTTTGTGTAGGGCTTGCTTTGACCTTTCGCTTTGCTCAGGAGCCCAACGCTTCATTTTTCACATTCTTGCAATTACGTTAACGCTTCAAGCATTTCTGACTCCAAGTCAGCTAGCAACACCAGGCATAACTCAACACTGTGAGTTTTTCTCCTCTCTGTAGATTCATTAACAGGTCACCGGGGTCCCAACTGAAATTTAAAACTGACTGGTTCTGTTGGGTTAGCTGAGTTATAGCAAGGGAGATGGCAGGAAAGGGGGTGAGAGAAGGGGAGGGGAAAGAGAAGACCCTTGGGTTTTTGCCAAGGAATATATGTGTAAAAAGTCTAAGTGGAAGATTAAAAGGTGTGTGTAGCTTTATCATCCACCCTTTTCTTTGGAGAGGAAAAAACACATCTGAAAGTCTTCTGGGGTATTGTGTTTTCTTTATTCTTTGTGAAACAAAGTGAAAACAGCCACTGCCTTTACATAAAAGGCTAAATGACTTCTAGAATTTGGCATCAGTTTGTACCACAGTGATGGATATGATGCTTCCAGACTTTAATTCCTATTTAATTTCTTTATGGGATATTGCAAATAATGAATATGGCAGATTATGCATGAAAAATGGGAAATAAATCTCTTTAAGGTTTAAAAACATGTGGTCTACAGGAAAGCACCAGGGAATAATTTCAGTTTCATATTTTATGGTACCAGGATTGTATACCTGATCTGTCATATTCATAGTTCACTCACTCAAAGGGCCTGATCCATCCAAGTCAGATGGAGGCTGTCTTCCTTCAGGACCTTTCAGGAAGTTCAGCATCTTTTTAGGATTAGATCTGGGGTGACAAACTTCATCATAAGTAAGAATCCAGAGATTAGAAAATTCTGATGGGCTATAGAGCAGTAAAAATATAAATGAGTATCACATCTTTGCTTTACACATGTGAATGAGTAGTTCATTGTTGTGTGGCTTTTTAAGCTTCATTTTTTTTTTAAAGTAACTACTTGTGCTGAATGATCTGCCCCTTTATAAATAATATCTGAGGCTACTCTCTAAAGCAAATCCCAAAGTAGTTTAGAAGCACTTCTGTGCCAGCTTGATGTCTATCCGTGATAGCTTTCTTTGGCAAAGACTCCATAATCTGGTTCAGGACAAAGTCAACTAAGATATTAACTGAAATGAAGCACCCATCACAGGTTAACTCTCTGGACTCATGCTTGTTGGAAAAATTAAGTACTATTATTTCTTATTCATAATATACCATCCTGTAATGTAGTGTGTAAATCAAATTTGTTTACAAGACTAGGTGATAAAGCCCAAAGGTTTATTTTAATATTGGAAACTCTACTGGCATTACTCAAAGCTTAGAACCAAACTCCAGTAGTTAAAAAAAGGAGAGGGATATGTTGATGTTAGCAACAATTACAAAATAATATATTCATGCAAAGTCTTTGGAAGCTAATCCAAAAGCTAATGCTACAACTTCTTTTCCCTAGTTCTGTAAGTATGATAAGCCTGCTGAAGCTACTATGCATATTCATCGTAAAGATTCAGAACATATTTTTATTCCTTTGTGTTTTTACCTATAAAGTGATAGGGTATGGTTTTATTGGAAGAGAGCTGCCTTCTGTAAGAAAGGAAATTCCTGAAAGGCAGGCTCAAACATCCAGACTGAAAAATCAAACTTGCTAATAAATAATGCTTCA